TTGTAAGAGTATTCCAAAGCACGTGGACATTGGAACATTTATCAGTGCTGCTTTCTCCCTCAACAACAACAACTTGGATTTATATAGCGCCCTCCACGCCAGACAGCATCTTAGAGCGCTTTACAGTAATGGATCCCGGGACCGAGCCAGGGGGAGGGGGGGGAAGGTGACCAAAGGCACGGTCGAAAAGAAAGGTCAGCAGAGACCTGAAAATGGGAAGGGAGGGAGCGAGGCGAAGGGAGTGAGCAAGCGAGTTCCAGAGCCTCGGGGCATAGTGGCTGAAGCCCACCGAGGGTGGAGCGGAGGACTTGGGGGACGAGGAGCAGGCCAGACCCGGAGGAATGAAGGCAACAGGTACTGTTTTGAGGAGAGAGGAGGTCAGAGAGGTAGGGGGTGCAGAGGAGTGCAGGGACTCGAATACAAGGGTGAGGATCTTGAAATCGATCCTCTCTGGGATAGGCAGCCAGTGCAGTCTGGCAGGGACTGGGGTGATCAGGGAGCAGAGTTTTGTGCGGGTGAGAATGCAGGCGGCAGAGTTTTGAATGGTTTGGATTTTGTGGATGGGAGACCGGTGAGGAGGGCGTTAGAGTAGTCCAGCCGAGAGGTGACAAAGGTATGGACCAGGGTTTCAGCGGCTTTAGGGGAGAGGTATTGGTGGAGACGGGCGATGCGTCGTGGTGGAAGAAAGAGGTGCTGGTGAGGGACTGGATATGGGGGAGGAAGGATAATTGGGGGTTGAACCTGAATTAGTGCGAGGTCGGGTAGGTGGAGGAGGTGAGAGCCATGAGATTTTAGATGTTGATGAGAGCCAAAGAGTATGGCTTCCATCTTGTCAATGTTCAGCTGAAGGAAGTTAGTGCTCATCCAGCCCCTGAGATCTGACAGGCAGGCTGACAGAACATCAGGGGACTGGGGGTCGCAAAAAGAGGTGAAAAAATAGAGTTGGGTGTCATCTGCATACATGTGGAAGTGTACCCTCCTGACACATTAACTGACAGGTATTCCATTTTGTGCCTTTATATATGTTGCTGAAATACTCTTCACTTCTTTAGTTAGTTTAAATTGTGATAATCCTACTTCTGCACAAACTGACAATAACCGCCTTGGTTTTTTGATGACGCACTCTTACAATTCCTTAGACTATTTTCTTAAGTCTGATAACTCATTGAAAAATTCAGAACCTCCCTGCAGACTTATTCCTCATTCTGACTTGCAAGTATATTAAGCACAGAAACAACTCTCCAGCAAACTGTACATCAATAAGTCATCAAAAGAATTAAGCATAGCTTTTTTTTATTCTTAAAAACAATAAAAAGGACCTGGAGGGGAAATCATTACATCCTGTTAAATCTATCAAAAACAATTACTGACATAAAGTCATGTTTGCGTTCAACACTGTCTTACATTTCAGAAAATCTGCTAATTACATTAAAAAAAGGTTTTTTTAAAAAATGAAGAAAAATCAAACCTTTTGGGGAAAATAGAATGCAAAATTTAGCTTGTACAAAGCCAGATATTGTGAGGTTTGTGGTTGCTCAGAATTAAATCGTACTTAACCAAGTGATCTATCCTACTGCTGACTTCGTCTTTCATTGATTTTTTTTCCACACTGTTTATTACAAATTGAATCAAACGTGGCTCTTGTAGTGGGTACTGCAGTGTGAAATTATTTTTCTTAGCTTTTGTAGTATATTTCACAGGAACAGATACCTGCTGTTTCTGGGCCTCTCAGTGATAGTACAAACAGCCATCTTTCAGGGATCAATGGCAGAAAAAAGATAGACTGAACAGCTCATCTGAACAGCAGTGTCATAAACTACTGAGTAGTTGGTGCAAATCATACAAACATACTGTGATGGAAGAAAAGACAGAAGGAAAGGCTAGATAAGTGCATTCCAGACTTAAAAAATATAAGCCATGATGTGGATAAATATTTAGACCTACAATTCCCCATGCGAGTTTCTGATGTTTCCTTTTATCATCAAAGAGACTTCTTGCAGGGAAGGAGTTAAATGAAACAATGCAATTTTTCTTATAAACACTCACATGCCTCATAAGAGAAGTGGAGAGAACAGCATGAGCAGAGGCCTGGAAATGGGTCAGTTGTTGATCCTGTTAGTTTCAGAGTGTTGGGGAACAATAGACAAACAACATATTTCTTTACTTTCGATGCCAACTTTAGACACTGTACTCTTTAATTGTATGTTTACCATCCTAGCAAAGAGCCATCAATAATCACAATCCTTGCTTTTGATATCACGCCAATTCATAGAATCATAGAATCGTACAGCACAAAAAGAGACCATTCGGCCTATCGAGTCTGTGCCGGCTCTTTGAAAAGAGCAATGTAACGTCAGTCCCACTCCTAGTCCTTTCCCCATAACCCTGCAGACCCGTCCTCCTCAAATACCTGTCCACCGCATTTTTAAAAGTTGTTATCGAATCGGCCTTGACCACCCTTTCAGGCAATGCGTTCCAGATTCGAACAACTCGCTGCGTGAAGAAATTTCTTCTCACCTCCACTCTGCTTCTTTTAGAGACTATCTTGAATCTGTGACCTCGAGTCACCGACACACCCACCAGCGGAAACAGTTTTTCCTTTTCTAACCTATCAAATCCCCTCACGATTTTGAAGACCTCTATTAGGTCTCCTCGTAACCTTCTCTGCTCCAATAAGATTGTCACATCATCAAAATGTCTCAGAACATTTTAAAGGATTTTACTGTAAAGTTTAGTGACTGAGTGTTTGTAGGGTGAACATAGCAGCCAATTTATGCACAGTAATACCTGACTAACAACTATGCAGCACTCCTCCAGCACTGAATTGTAGTGTCAGCTTGAAAACTGACCTTGACGTGAAGTGCCTGGACTTCAGTCATCTTAGACAGTTCTAGCACTTTGAACCAGATATGGCCAGCTAGACAGACACAATATGAAGATAAACACATTTGACCCGAGAAGAAACAAAATTGAAAAAAAATGTTCCTAAAGATTATGCAGACAACAGAAAAGATTAATTATTATGAATCTCAGACTTTGAGTGTGCCAGAGTCTGTAAATTATTGCATTTAGGGTGTTACTTACTCAAACAATTGAAATCCCTCTGGTGAAATACTGATTACAAGTAAAGGAAGTACAGTATGAATCTGCATGTTTTCTTGCAACTTCATTGCCCCTGAATCTTAAAATAAACAAGTTATTTTCTATGTGCAAAATAAACCACATTCAAATAAAAAAAGGAATGCTTATTATTAAAGTGAAAAGAATAGCTTTACAAATGTATATCTGCTACAATATTGTAATATATTTTAGAGGTTTAACCAGAAGATACATGTGATGTGCTCTCTATCTGGGGCAAACACGTTCTTTCATAACTTGGTATCCAACAGGTGTGTATTTTGTAGCATCGTTGTAGAATTAAAACTATTATTCAAAACTATATTAAATTTAAAAATATTTAACAGCTTTGAAAATCAAGGTAAAAGTTTTGGTGACAAATCCATTTAATGTGCTGCAAAGTGGCATCAGAGAGGGCAATTGCACTAGTGAAATTGTATTTCAGAAATTGATCTAATGAGCTGGTTCAAATATTACATAGTGAGGTTCTAAGTATCTGAAATGGGCAGACCCAAAGGTAATTTGGTAAAGTGAAAAAAACTCTTATAGAACCACACATACTTATTTTCTCAGAATATTAGAACTTCTTCAATGATGAGAAAAAGTGCCACCTCTGGCTGGCTCAGAGTATTTCAGACATCAGTGTTTTGAATAACTGAGACTCCACTGAACCTCACATAGTGTAAGTACTGTTGAACAACTGTTTGTAAATCTTAGCTAGTCAAGAAGCAAATTAACCATTTCCAACAAACAGTTTGAAAATTCATATCGAGCTTCTGTGGTTACTTCTTTGCCCAATACCTTCACAAATGCACAATTCATGTTTGGATTACAGAGGTGCTTTTATAATAACACAGCACACATTCATTTTCACTTGCTTGTGTTTGTTTGTATAACAATCTTGAGAACAATATTGTTTACTTATCATCCAATGTTACAGAAAAGTTATGTTTTTAAAAAAAGCCCAGCACAAAACAAGCAAAATCTATGTGTAGAATAATGGATACCTGGAAATAATTATGAGCAGTAATCTAATCATGGAGTTCAGATGGTTTATATATAAAATAGTGGAAACCTGGGAGCTATTACAAGGCAATAATTTAATTGAGTTCAGATGACATCATAAATTGCAAAAAATGAAGCTGAAGCAGTTTATATCCATCATCTTAAGCTCAAGATTAAACCACTGCCTTGAATCAATCCCTGATATCTGGTATCTGTTAACGTACATATTGCTTCAATTGTATGTGTTTTTTTGGGGGGGGCCAAGTTTTGGAGGGATTGGTGACTGTTAAAGTGGAAGCCTATCATTGCACTTGAAGGTGAAGCTGATCTCATTCACAGAAAGGATTAATGATAGGAAGGTCACTCCTTCCACTTTATCAAAAAATAGCCTGCAGTTTATTTCTGGGGCCTTCTAATGCCAAGCATACACTTTACATAAATTAACTTTGCTTCTGGTCTTGAACCTCATTCACAATATATTTACTGCTGCACTGTGTTCATCTATCCACATGTAAAAGATGACTAATGTGATCTCCACACGCATTTCAAAGCCACCAGTTATATGTCAGTTCTTGTTAGAAAATTCAAGGGATCACATTCTCACCACATGACCTTTCATTGTCTTACTGCCTGAATTAAATAGAACATTTTGAAAACACATGAAAGGTGGCTTCTAACCCTTGTCTTTGCTCAAATATGCTACCTATTGTTTTCCTTGTTTATAAAAATGGACATTTTGCCACAAAGCCTTCAAAACTTTAAAAGTCCGCTGCCTTTACTCATTCTTGGGAAATGTGAAATTAAAAGCAGGACGTGGTGACCTCAGATCCTCAGGATCAGAGAAGGGGAAAAAAACGTTAGTCAGGAAATCTCTCACGTCAGAATCAGAGAACACTGCCTCACTTTTTTCAGCTCTGATTGTGGGACTGTTCGTAAAGTAAAGCCTCCATGAAATTCATTTTACTGTTTGGTAAGTGCACAGCAAGCAAATGTTTCTTCGACTGACTATTCAATCAGCATTGCTAGGTACTGCTTTTATGTTTGGGAAAAAATTATTGATGTGTATGCAAAGACTCTTTTATGTCATGGCGAGTGGAGTGAATATCAGCCTCTTTGCTTAGCAGGCAGCCTGCTGCTCTGACTGAATAAAAGTTCAAAATCTGCTCAGCATGTTCACTGATATTCCTCAAAACGTTGTAACGGTTTCCTTTCAAAAAGAAATATTCAGAATTACTGTCCTTCCACTGATATGAACTGTGGCAAAAAACTATGCAGGATGCGGTGTAGGGGAAAATTTTTAATAATGGATTTTGTTTCTAGGCTAATGTGACAGATGGTGGGATATTGCTTCTTTGGAACTGTTGTTTTAACTTCATTTTGATGTCTTAAATTGGAAACAAACACATTGTAACCTCTATGAAGGGAGAAACAAAACCTGTTAGGATTAAATAAAGGAAGGTAAAAGAATTTGCGAGATATGTAGCATTTGTTTTTGTCATCTGCTCCTTCCTTATTAAAAACAAACAAAATCTGATTAGTTACAATTGAGTTCTCTTACTATCAATTTTGGTTGATTCCTGTTTTCTGAGTCTAGTAACTTTGAAAATCACAAGTTTATTTGGAGATGATATTTCGCAATTAAGGGGCTCGAATTTCAAAAGTTTGTGTGTTTATTTATTCTTTTCTTAAAAAAAGTTCTACTTTAATTGATACTTCCTCCTTGGCTGAGAGCACAACGCAGGCAACCCAGATCTCTGTCAATGTCCTGTAACTTAGCAGTTAGAACACTTGCCCCACAAGCGAGAGGACACGGGCAGGGCGAAACGTTGGCCAAGTTTCCTTACTCCACACATATCTGTTTACCAAGCAGTAAGTACGAATATGGTTATTAGTCGATTGACGGATCGCTTTTCCAGGGATAATATTCTTTCCAAAAAAATAAATAATTAATAATAATTTGGGCACTCAATCCACAAGTGTTTGTGGGACACTGCTGTGTGCAATTGGCTGCTGCATTTTGCCCACAAAATATAAGTCAATTCACTTTACAGTATATTCTGTGAAGCGCTTTGAGACAGGCGCTATATCAAATGCAAGGATTATTATTATAATGATGATGTTGAGCTGACTACTAGGAACTGTCTGGGAGCAATGGGTGACTCGCCTTAATCAAATTTCACCAATGTCTAGCGATGTGGGGATTTATAGGGATGTTTGGTTTGGATACTCTTCAGCATGGTGGTGGGTTTCCATATGTGTCAGACACCTGCTTGACCCCAAAACATTATTTCACCATTCATTAGTATATGGTCCCTCATTCCCAAATACTTAAACCATCATTCTATATTGCATGGACCATTGCCTTCACATTTCATGTTACAAAGAACATGGTTCATTCATTCCATGTTGTGTCAACCATCATCCTAATGTTCCATGTTATTTGAATCTGTATTCAGTTAACCAGTTTGACAAACACATCCTGATGCAACTATTTTATGTGGGTTGAAACTTATCACACCTTTCCATGGTAGGCGGACCCTGTCAGAAGGCTCAGTTTATGACTTAGTGGGTAAAAGACTGAAATAGCAATAAGCTATACTGACCAGATGATTGCAGATCCAAATCTGTGCTGAATTCACTAATCTCAGCCTTAGGCTGGCAAGATGATGATAAAAATCAGCCAGGGTTCCTACTCCTTATCGCTCACCAATGACTGTTAACCCTGCAAGGTAGTATGTGTGCTTGAACATCAGATGGAATAAAATTGGACACAGCTGTGAAACTGATCAGCACAGTTAGCAAGCAATCTTATCAGAACTAGAAAACTTCAGCTCATAACGTAATATCAGGATACTGTAATGTTGCCTAAGATTTCTGATTATGTGTATAGATTTTAAAATTTCTTCCGTATTCAGAGATATTGAAGTTTCAGCCCTTAAAATGTTTCAGTACACTTTCATCACTTCTTGCCTGGCAAAAATTCCTTTATGATCCCATTGTATAAAAACCTACACGCTTAATTTGTATTATGTTCTCATACAAATGATGCACATATATCAGTACAGAGTATAGCAACCACTTTTCTAACTAACAATAGTTATTGACTACCAAACGTTGAGCAGACTCTCATTAGTCTAGTTTATACTAGTCTAGTTCAACTACAAAATGCACACTTTAAAGTAAATCCGGTGAAATAGTTTGACAAGTCCTCCTGACGTGAAAGGCCCTATATCAAATTTAAGGATATTAATATTATTATTATATTGCGTTCTTCATATTTTTAACTAATTAATTTCCTGTTACCTACACTGTGCTATGTTGTTATCTTGGTCAGAAAAACATGTAATGCTTACATACTAAAATCTGTTCAAAGGCTGATCCTTCATTTCAGTGGTACTGATCGAATACTTGGTCTATATTAAGTTAACCAATCTCAGGTGGGTTGTAGTGGGGCACCTACAATCGGCCTCAGGGTTCCCATGCTAGGGAGGAAAGAAATCAGCCAGAGATCCTGCTTATGATTGCTATCTAGTGAAACAGACTGGAAGTGCATTTGGGATAATAGTTAATAAGGGTTAATATTGAATTTGGGTAATGTAACCCTATGGCTGAATAGACGACCAATATTCATTGCGCAAGCCTGGATGAAGTATTAGAAACTTTACGTTCCTGTAGTGATAAATCACACCATAAGTTGTCTTTCCTTAGGAGGCAAGAGGATAAGAAGAAAAATTCAAAGAACAAATGGGAGTAAAGGGAGAAGAAAATTAGTCTTAAAGTAGCTCCACTCCAGTAACCCCCCAAAACAATTTGGTCACTCAATCCACGACTCTTTGTGGGACCCTGCTGTGCGCAATTGGCTGCCGTGTTTTGCCCACAAAATACAGTCAATCCACTTTACAATATATTCTGTGAAGCGCTTTGAGACATCTCAACGACATGATAAGGTACTATATGAAATGTGAGCATTAATATAAATCTGATTTTTAACTTTTTTTTCTTGTTAACCTTTTGTGAATCCTAACAAATTCTTGATATAATCATTCAAGCACATACATTACTGCTGCGGTACCTTTTGTTTTCATTTTTTTTTAAACTTTGAATCAGGCAAGAGAAAACTAGGTGTTCAAATTTAGGTATTGTTAATTCTGCACATTCAGAATCAAAATCTAAGTGACTTTAGCCCATTTACTTGGGCTGTTTAGTGTTCTATTTCTATCCCTCATATTATACTCTAATTTTTCATGTTCCAGTGTGGCTCTCCAGTTTGCTGGACTTGTGCTTGCCATCTGCAAATTCCAGCATGACCCAAACCTTCAACTGCAATGAGAACATATGCAACAAGAATGCCACTTGCACAACAATAAACAAGAAGAAGGGATGCTACTGCAACACAGGCTTCACAGGCGATGGTGTCAGCTTTTGCAATGGTATGGAACCGCACTGTACAAAATCGATACAAAGCTAAATAAGTGGTCCCAAATCTGCTCTTCACTTCTGAATAGCAAAGACAAATGAGAAAGCTCATGATTCAGTGATGGGTATTAGGAAATCAGTTCTGAAAATCTTCTGTTTTGAAACTTGTTATACACATTGGCTGAATGTAGGAGGGAAAACATTTTGAATACTAGTTGAATACTGATGGAGTCTGGAGCATGCAGTACAAGGGTATTAAGTATTTTATCTGAAATGCCTCCATCCCCCAAATTTTTTTTAAAATTGTTCACCAACATAAATAACCATCATCCTAAATAGCATCTAACTCCTGGTACAAAGGTAGTGCAATTGTCAAAGCTTTTGCTCTGAAAATATGCACATCGCTCAGTGACAATTTGGGATGCAGCAGGAGAGCTGCTTATAAGTTATTTTACATTAATACAGCTACAGAGATACACAGACAGTTGGGCAGGACATCTCAGCAGAGAATCCTTTCAAGCATTGCTTTTAAATGATCTGTTTACATTTGTATAGGGATAACCTCCTGCTTTCTGCCAGCCACAGTTTCCTAAAGAAATGAATCATTTATTTAAAGTGTCAGTTGTTAAAGATAGTGTGGACAATAGAAATCTTGCCAAATGAGCAATATGTGACAACAAGGTTAGCGGTCTATTCTGCTGCTACTAATTAGATATTGGGTGCTATAGCATGTTTTAGCTTTTTTTTTGGTCCTTGAGTAAAAGTTGCTGTTTTTAAAAAGTACTCTTCACATTTTCAGAACAGTAATTTCAAAATGCAAATGAAATAATCAGATTGTGAACAAATACACTATATCGCCAATTAAAAATTGTCCAGGATAACAAACAGTTAAACTTATAACAGTGGCACATTTTTAAAAAAAGGCACTTCAGCAAATACTTTTTTTTATCTGAAAATATCCCAAATCAAGTCTATTGCATTTGTATTGATTTTAACTCTGCTGCACAGGTTTACCAGTCTTTAGATTATTTGTTTCTCCCCAAAGCACTTCCCTTCAGGATTATGCTCTAGGATGTGGTAAAATGGAAGATTGTATTCTCAACAAGGTTAATTACATTGTTGGATGTTTGGAAAGCTTCTAGCTCTTTTGCCTTGAACTTTCCAGCTAATTAAAACCACAATCATTTTAAGGAAGGAAGCTGTCATTTTTGCTTGGAACATGGAAGCTGAATAATCTCTTTGTATTGTCCACAGAGTGCAGCTTTATGTGACCACTTTGGGCTTGGCACTTATGGTTGATTATATGGGAGAAGATGTGAACTGGTTGTTAAAAAGGAGTTCATTTTTTACTGGAATAATAGAATTGCCTTTGTCTTGTTTGATACGGAGCAAACTGAGATCATGGCAAAAGTGAACTGCTTATTTCTGGCAATTTCTAGCAAATTCATAGAAGTTATGTAAAGTTATTCATTATTCATTTTGATCTACATTTGTCCAGCTTTAGCTATTTGTTTGTGGCTATTTATAAATTTGATTATCTACATCGTCTGCTGAAAGGTTACCCAATTGGTCAGTACTTCATGTACTTTACTTCCATGCATGTAACCACTTTTGTTTTTAATATGATATAACATTATGTGAATAATTGGCAAGAGGCCACTGCAAACAATAGAATTTCAACTTGTTGATACATTGTGCTGAACAGATCGTATTTTAGTGGATGACTGGTTCATCGTATTGGATTTGCTTCATATGTGCTCCAGACCATTGTTTTGACAAAAAGCAAGTACTTGCAGCTTGGAATCTTCTTCAGTTGGATTATTGAATGCAAGCATATCTGTGCATTTACTCCCCTGTAATACCACTGTAGACACTAAACGTTCTTGTTGAGTAAGGTTTAATGTAGAAGACTTAGGTAGCTTTCAAAATGGTTCTGATCTACAATATTCACAGCAGTGTTGTATTGTGGAGTTTTTTGTTATTTTATTTCATAATCTCCATTATGATCTAGGGATTTGATTCCTGATAATAAGGAAAATAAATCTAGGCAAATGTAGTTTTGTTGTACGACTAACAACTATTGATAAAAACAAAATGAAGAATATACATTGCTCCTCATTATCTTTAGATGAGGGCAGAAATCACAGTGCAGTTACCTACACTTGAGGCCAAACACACACAAGTTAAATTCATTGTGACGAAAATACCAATATGCTTTATTTGTTATTATTTGGCAAATAAATATTTACAAATATCAAATCTTCAAGTGCTTCATTTTTATAATTCAATTCTTTATAGCAAAAAAATGCAGGATCTTTTTCAACACTTTATTGTCGTTATTGCTGTGCTGTTATCATTATATTACAGCAATATAACAAAAGTTTTCCAGTCTGAATATACTAGCATAACATCACTTTATCAGTAGCAATAAAGCAAAATGTAAATTATGGATGAGTTTGGTAAATATTTTGTGTTCATCAATTTAAAATGAGTGTGAGAAAATGTTCCTTGGAAATGAATTGTGCCAATTTAAAATAAATGTTAAAATCCAGTCATTCCAGGATGATAGTGTTTTCTGAGCATAAGAGATGTTCCTGTTATTGTTTTTCATAATATCAAACACAAATAATGGCATATGAAAATAGATTGTCATACTAATTTGAATTTGTATTTTCCTTTGTTTCATTTGTAAAAGTTCAACAACTCAGAGAGAACATCTTTACATTTGAACAAGATTTACATATTTTCTTGGATTTTGGAACAATGCTGATTGCAAGATGTGTGTGTGTGAGGTGTGCGTGTTGGGGGAGGGAAGGTGATCTTGATTTCAAGATCATCCTCACCTACAAGGCCATTCACGGCCTTGCTCCCTCCTACCTCTCCAACCTACTATCCCCCTACCTACCTGCCCGTACCCTCCGTTCCTCCGGCTCTGGTCTGCTCCACGTCCCCCGCCCCAATCGGCCTACCATCGGTGGTCGGGCCTTCAGCCTCTCAGCCCCTAGGCTCTGGAACTCTATCCCCCAGTACCTTCGCCTCGCTTCCTCCCTCTCCTCCTTCAAGGCCGGTCTCAAAACCTTTCTCTTTGACCGAGCATTCAGCTCCCCTCTCGACTCTCTACCCCCTCCTCGCTCCCTCCCTTCCCTCCCCTCACCCTGACCATTTCCCCCTTGCTCGGGTCATGACCCAACTGTGCAGCGCCTTGGGACGTCCTCCTGACGTGAAAGGCGCTTTATAAATGGAATCTTGTTGTTGTTGTTGTTGTTGGGTCCTGACACATCTTGGAAGAACTTGGAGTTCGGGTGGGCGGGGAGGTGGGGGGATGGAGTGTCTTGTTCGACCTTCAACTGTCTTTTCTTACCCCTCACATTCAACCCACGACCTGCACTGCCTTCACTAACCTCCGTAACATCGCCCGACTCTGCCACTACCTCACCCCTCAGGCACTGAAACTCTTGTTCATGCCATCATCACCTCCAGGCTCGACTATGCAAACGCCCTGCTTGTCAGCCTTCCCAACTCCTCCCTCCACAGGCTGCAGATAATCCAGAACTCTGCAGCCCGTGTCCTCTCCCGCACCAAACTCTGTGACCCCATTTCCCCCACTCTCCTCTGACTCCACTGGTTCCCTATCCTTCAGAGGATCCACTTCAAGATCCTGGTCCTCACATACAAAGCCCTCCATGGCCTCGCACCACCCTACCTCTGCGACCTCCTAACCCGCTACCAACCCGCCCGCTCCCTCCGCTCAGCCAGCTCTGGCCTGCTCCACGTCCCCCGACCCACCCGCCCCACCATTGGCGGGAGAGCCTTCAGCCACTCTGCTCCCAACCTCTGGAATTCCATCCCCCAGTCACTCCGCCTCGCCCCCTCCTTAGCCTCCTTCAAGACCCTCCTCTTCGACCATGCCATCAGCCACCCACCTTCCCCTCCCCTCCCTTCCCCCCCCCCAACCCCAGCTCGGGTCTGAAATGCTGTACACTGTCCAGCACCTTGGGACGTCCTCCCGACATGAAAGGCGCTATACAAGTGTAATCTTGTTGTTGTTGGTGCTTTCGAGATTCAACCATAATTTAACCACCGTTATCCCTTCAAGGACACATGCAGTTTTGTGCAGTTATGAGTTATTGCTCTCAGCATCTTTCACATCTTTCTGTAGTTTCTGTTGTGCTCAAGGACAATACAACAAAAACTTGCATTTATATAGTGTCCTTCACGCAGAATAGTGTCTCAAGTATCAAGCAGATGAATGCAACGTGCCTTTGGGGATATTCTGTGCTATAAAGGCCAGTTCTGTCGGGGCTACTGTCAAAACAAACAATTGCGTTTTAAGGAGAGGTACAGTGGCTGAAGGAAACAGCCTCTAATAAAAATTTCAGGAGCTTGGGTCAGATTGGGAGATACAGTCGTGGAAGAATAATTGTTGAAAATGCGGTATGTGTCAACAAACTGCTCAAAGAACATTTTCTGGCCATTATGAAGCAGCTCGTCTGTTTTACTAATGTCCTTGGAACACCATCCTCCAGACAACAGTCATTTGAAACTGGCTTAAGCAGATTTAAATATGTTCCTATTGGTGTTTATTAAGAAAAATATATTCCGACTTCTACTTATTTCCTGTTTTAAATAAATGTGATGGAACACCATTTGTTGCAATCAAAGCTAACTGGAGAAACAAATCAGAAGAGTCTTTGAAAGTTATCTTTGTTTACACAGAAAGGCTGTGAGTGTGGGTGTTTCAGGATGCAGTGATGTAGGTGTGGATTACGAGGTAGTGTAGTTTACATATATCCTGCAGAAAAATACTGTGGGTGTGGAGTTCAAACAGTGTCATAATGCATATGCTTTGGGTGTAAGTCTAGTATACAGTAACTCAAAGTTAATGGGATCTGTAATGTTTACACAGCTGTAGCTAAAATACAGTAGGTTACAATTAGGTACAACTCCAACCCAACTGGTGCACATAGATTATATTCAGTGGGCATTAAGGAAGATGAACTGTGGGGAGTGATGTTGGAGCAGTTTATATTTCTGCAGCTCATCAATCCAAGACCAAGTACTGTTGAATCCCAATAAACACATAGCTGAGGTTTGCCAAGAAATGTTATGATTGAATCAGGATATCAAAAAGCTGTTTATAAGAAACTAAATATTTGTACCTTTGGCAGAGTGTTGAATTAATGTTATATAAAATAGGAATTGTTCATGCGGAATTGTTACAAAGAAAAACATGGCTAATTTTCAACAAAGGAAACAAAAATCGCTTGAAGTGTTTCACATCGGATTAAACACCAGATTATTTGTTTTTCAAGCGTTCTGTAAAATAGGATCGAGTTACAAGTCCTTGCCAACATTGGAATTCTATGTTTGAGTTAAAACTTTGTTTGGATGAAGCATATGTTTAGTTTCCTGCAGACCAATTGTATAATAATAGAATAATAATAATGATTGCATTTGATATAACGCCTTATCAAGTCTTTGAGACATCTCAAAGCACTTCACAAAATATATTGAAAAGTGGATTGACTGTATTTTGTGAAACACAGCAACCAATTGCACACAGCTGTGTCCCACAAACAGTCGTGGATTGGGTAAATACATTTTTTTCCCCCAAGGAATTATTATCCTCGGAAAGCAAATTCATAATATCTCGATGAGATCCATAAAGAGATGAGCCTTCAGCCCCTATGCCCCTGCACTCTGAATCTTCCTTCTAAAATCTTTTAGACTCACTTCCTAACTCTTCCTTCTCCCTGCTCTGTGCTCCCAATTATAGCTCTTATGCGCTTCAACAAGATCATTCAACATGAAAAAGCTGCTGTATAAGTGCAAGCTGTTATTGCTGTTATATGCCATTAAACACATGCAGGGGATAATATTGTGTTCCATTTGTTGTGCCATTCAATTTTAATAGTCCTAGGAGCACAAGGGTTGAGTACATATTACATTTAGTAGATTTAGCAGAGTTTGTTCAATATTTAGATTCTGCTCTGAATATTTTAAGCATATTTACATGTAGTAGTAATACTACAAGAGAATTGAACAGTCACATCTAGCACTGCTTGGGCGAGAGAGAAATCCTTCAGACAGCAAACTAAAAATGAACAACATGCTTGACATAATGGCCCGAAGGCCATCCAGAATGTACTGTCTCGTCCATCAGGGATTCTCTTGTAATTTACCTAAATTTCTTTTAAATTGGTAAGAATGATGCATAAGAATAAGAATTGCACACTTTTGAAATGATAAAGGCTTCTCGTTCCTTTGTGAGAAACTGATCACAAGTAAATGATTTGAATAAAGTTTTTAAATTGTTCACAACAACTAAGAATGATGTGGCTTGAAGCAGGGTGTTTTTTTTTACATTTTCTCAGGTGGTTCTGCAGATGAAATATGTGTCAACTTCCAAACTCATCATCTCTAATGTAAGAGGTGATCTGGATAAACACAGTTGAAAACAATTTCCTCATTTGGTATGTTGGCACACAGCCTACTATTATCTATGCTCACAGGATGAAAAAGCCTACTGGAGTACTTTCAGATACAAGGGTTCCCATTATTATTTAAGTAAAAAATTAAGAACATGTTTTCGAATAGTGGGAGATCGCTTCACTTGAATGACTAATTCTCCCTTCCCATGGAGACCTGTCATCACACCTGATGCCACTTGGATGATGTTTGCTGTGAGAGTGGCCAAGAACCATCCAACAGTGGCTCTGCACATTGACCTGGAAGTGTGCACTTCAGATCAGCCTGGATGCCAAGTCAATGTCAGAACTGAGAATGTTGCTGCCTGCTGTGTACTCAGCCAGCACTAAACCTCCACAGCTCAGACACCTTCAGATTGACATCCCGGCCAAGCTTTGAAGGGTTTACTTTTGTGTTAGTGTACGGAGATTATGCAGGATGCACACAGGCTAACCCATGAACCATGTCATCAGAACAGCATTACATGCAAGTTGCAAACATGAAATAGCGAGTCTGCCACAGGAAGGAATATTAGTTACTAAATCAAAGATATCCCACTAGCTTCCTAATTATTTCAGAAGATAATAAATGGATTGAAAATATTTAGTACTGAATGCATTCCCCTAAACCGTACTTTGTCAACAGCTGATTAAAGAGTTACACTGAATGAAATTTAAGGGCAAACCTTGGAGAGAAGGAATAGAAAGAGTGGGAATACTGTATATCCAATGCCTGCGCAGTAGGATTTGCTGAAGGATCACATACCTGAATTAAACCAGCACAAGTGCTGTTGTGTAATCAGGCAGACAGTGCTGGACTTCTACGAAGAATTCTATGGTTTCCTGGTAAAGAGAAATAGGCAACATCAAAGCAGAGCTATGAGAGATGAAGAAGGCATCAAGCACTATTAGGTCAGGAGTTGTGTCCATCGCATCAGGATTGGCATCCCTACATTTCCCTGACAATCTGTTTGATCCCAACCAATTCTTGCAAAGTACCTCGGTCTCAACAAGCATGATATTTCAGTGCTTTTCATCTAGTCTTTCAGAACCGCTCTGTCAAATTGGCGGTGGGTTTGTGAAGTGCCCCGTATATACCAGAGAATAATAAAGGCTGCCAAGACTCATTTTAGTTCGAATACTCGACATCCATAAGGGAGAACATAGGTTTGAAAGCTAGATCCCTGAGGTGAAAGAAAAGTCCTTCAGAATGATATTTTGACATGCTTTGCAACCCACTCCCTAAACAATTGATTTGAAATTTAATTTGAAGTTTACCTATTTTTGGTTGGTACATAAACTTGACTTTATTTGAAATTTCCACTGTTCCTCGGTTGTTATATTATGACATTAAGGTTGTACAAATTGGCATCAGTGATATTTCATAGCATCACTATCACATTTGTCATTCTTCGTAACAACATTTCCATCACAGAGCTAACATATAATAAAGGATAGAAAGGTGGAGCAAAGTGAGAGAGAGAGAGTGGACTGGGAGTAAAGTTATTACAAAAATTGTTTTTTCCCAGTAGGGAATGTTCAGGCTATTCCATTGAATGCTGTTCAATTTATGCTATGTAACACAAGGGAAGAAGCTATAGAAACTAACTGCTGAAGCAGTAAGCAAAGAAACCAGTGATCTTAAGAAACTGAAGCTTTTTGTTTCACCCACCATATCAACTGTGGTATTGCATCGGTTGCTTCAATGCTCCTATACTTTCTTAAGGGTGATTTTGATATAAAATGGGCAAAATTTTAAAGAGGAAATTATTTCATTTGTGTTCAGATAATGATGTACGTCAAGGAACCTTACAGCAAGATGATAGCAATAAGCAATAACCATTAGTTATTTGATATTGTGAAAGCATCAGCATTGAAATTCCACCTAGAAAATAGACATTACTACTTAATATTCAAACTTGCATCTGCATCACATTTTCTCAGATTTTTCTAGTGCACTGGAATGTCATATCCCCTTGGTATTGCTCAAAACCTGCTTAAATGTTCCACAGTAAATGCCACAACACATTTAACTTTATCACAGTCATTTTAAAGTAAAAATATGCATTGATATGGACTAAAATTGGTGTATAATTTTCAGAAAAACATTGACCAGGCTTTACAGAAATAGAGACAATCTTGTAGTCAATCAAGAAATATTTCTTGAAATCATGTGCATATTAGTTCAAACCGCTTCGGTTCCATTATGTAAATCTAATGTGATAGGTTGTGCAACATAACAAAAGGACAATTACTGAAGCTTTAATGACAGAGTACATGTATGTTCCAGATGATGATGAATGTGAAAATGCAACACAAACATGTGGATACAATGCAACCTGTACCAATACGATTGGAAGTTTCTACTGCACATGTGTCCAAGGTTTTCAGTCATCAAAAGGAACACAAGAATTTACACCAAACGATGGAAGCACCTGCATAGGTAAGATGCATCTTTTAAAAAAAATCTCAGAAGACCAGAGAACAGTTGTTTGATTCTATAGTCAGTTATTATGTTCAAAGAAAGAAAGAAAAGAGGCAATTTGAGCTCTTGTTAAACATATTATTTAACAGACTGGCCTTACGTCATTGCAAACATGCAGCATAGTCACTGCAACTTTTCAGTTTATTACCATATTGTTCGTATTATTGGATACCTGGTTATTCATGAAGCATTTAGATGTCCCAGCAGAATAATATGAAACAATTAAAAGAAGAAATAATATTGAGGCGTCGAAGTTGCAGTAATTCTTAATGATATTCACAAATCAGAGTTCCCGTCAAATTTGTAGACCACATCAGAGCAGAGTTCTCATGGGCTGAAGGCCCGCTACCGATGGTGGGGCAGCCAGACTCTGCTGAGTGGAGAGGTTGAAAATGTGTTAGCAGGTCACAGAGACCGGAAGGAGCAAGGTCATGGGGGCTTTGAAGGCGAGCACGAGGATTTTGAACTATTTTCTGGGAACCTGAATCCACCTGAATAGGCAGATGGGACCTTGGTTTCGTGTCACATCTGAAGGGCAACACCTCTGACAATTCAGCACTCTTCCAGCACTGCATCAAAGTGTCAGCAAATACTTTTGAGTCTCTAAATAATAAATAAATAATCCTTACATTTGATATAGCATTTTTCACGTCGGGAGGACGTCCCAAAGCGCTTCACAGAAGACACTGTAAAGTGAATTGACTGTATATTTGTGGGCGAACGCGGCAGCCAATTGCGCACAGCAATGTCCCACAAACAGTCGTAGATTGAAAATAACCAATTTATTATTTTTTTTTTGGTTTTTGGGGGGATTATTATTAGGCGTGTGAAGTAAGGAAACTTGCCCAAGGTTTCGCCCTGCCTGGAATTGAACTCAGGTCTCTCGCTTGCAAAGCGAGTGCTCTAACCACTGAGCTACAGGACTCCACGAGCCATGATGTAGGACTTGAATCCCCAGCCTTCTGACTCAAAGGCAAGAGTGCTACCAGCTAAGACAGGCTCCAGACATTTTTTCATAGTGATGATTCAAAAGAGAAATAATGCAGCTACCTGTTCTATAAACTATAATTCACAGTAATCAGTCTACACTATTTAAAACTGAAAAAATTTTAATTTTCCACAAGAGCAAAAATGTGCTGTTGGCTTTATATTTACAATCCTTCCTCCATAGGCTTCAAACAATGTTTGCAGAAACGTATGAGCCATTATTTGGACACTGGTACTGAATAATTGATTTTCACTGTTAGTATGTAAGAGAAAGTAACGCAGATATGGGGAAACCATAGCGTGCTTTGAAGAAGTTAATGTTGTTTGCTGTACACTGTCTGAATTTTATAGACATTGATGAATGTAGTGGAGATTACGCCGGGGGCTGTGGTGCCCATGCTAGCTGCAACAACACAATTGGAGGATTTTATTGCTCCTGTATTAATGGATTTCAGACATCTTCAGGGAACACAAATTTCTACCCAAAGCCAAATTCCACCCACATCATGTGCAAAGGTCTGTTATTGCGGTTTCAGACTAAGCAGCTACATACACATTTAAAAATATACTATAACCCATCAGGAACAGGTTACCAAACTTGAATTGAAACTATAACTACATGTACTGCAAAGTTAAGTGAAGGTGCGACGGTGAATGAAATGCTTTGAGTGAATTTCTATTGAATATTTTTCAGTTTAAAGCGTAGCTGTATATTTTATAAATCGTAAACCAATAGAAGGAAAAATACCTTGGATTACATTCGCAAGAGGTGAAATCATAATTCTAATTAAACGTATTTGACTGCATGGTGCTATCTAATGACTATATTCTTACCTTGGACACAGAGGTTAGTATTTTTGGTTAACATTGGAGAGAGCATCTTTAAATCTAATTCCCCTAGCGATGAGATTTCCAATATGCCATCAGGCAACATTGGCTTCTTTGGTTGGACAGAAAAAGAGTGACGGTGTCTGGCTTTGTCATTGCTAATGGTCAAGTTACACATTTGGGTTTAAGAATAAGAGGATGACCATGTTAAAAAACAGTAGTCGAGGTCCATAAAATTCCAACTCACATTACCACGCGTTGTGATCAAGAGCGACTGCTGGTCAGTGCCTCAGCATCACTTGAAAACTCATCATCACACTTCAGCTCCCATTGTTGAGCTGACACAATTTGAAGTGAGATGTCAAATCTGGACAGCATGATGCCAGGTGTTTGGACTTTTCGGCAAGAAAACATCGGGGTTTGCAACTAAATCACGCGATAAGTGAACCTGTTATAACATGCTCCCTCTGTATTTGCAACGGAATCGTAAACTGCTAGTAAACTGATGTACATCACATCATTTGTAGGAATCACAATCTGACCTGCCAGTAAAAGAAATCCCATCAAAGTGCAGTTCCCTCAAGTCAGCATGTAGCATCCAGTTCCCAGCAGCAGTCACTATTTACAAATCCTTTATGAATCTGGTTGTGAATACTGAATTTTTGTGCCCACTTCAGCCAGCAGCTACCATGTTGTTAGATTAATCTCATGGCAAAGTGAGGCCTTCTATTCTTTGAGGCTTCTGAGGTAGTTCCCCCTGAGGCAATGCTGAATGGCAACAAAATGGCCATCCATTCACATGCTTACTGTCAGGTTAAATTATTGCTTATTACAATGGTCTATTAGTTTTAGATCTTAGATTAATTAATGACAAAGTTCACATTGTAAAAGTTATGAATTAATAATTTGCTACTTTCAAGGACATTATATAATAAGTAATTTACTGTAAAAGAAATGTTCCCAGTTGGATTGGACATATGATAATTATTTGTCAGGTACACTAGTCCTAAGAAGCCTGATGGAAACTGAGTGACAGAGCGTTTGATAGAAATAATGTAGTCAATAATAACACATCACTATATCTTGAGACACCTGTTGTTTGAGATTAATGAAGAATCTTTTTACTGCGATTTCAGAAAAATCAAAGACACCGTGTCATTTAAATAATAACTGCCTTTCTGGAAGGATTAATGATACCCTGGAGGAGGTAAGGCTTCATTACTAACAATACAAAACTGATGCAAAATCTCATTTGTGTTTTGTAATAACATGAATCAAGGAATCTTAAGTACAAACTACTGTAATTTTACACTAACCTATATTTTAGGAATAATTATGCATAGAGCCTGAGATACCCAAAGAAAGCATTGCTTTGATTCTAAAGTTTCAGTTATACAGCTTGAAATGTTTTAGACAAAAAAAAATTCCTGAGAAGTAATGGCGATTTAATTTAAAATTATTATATCTTTAATGGGTTTATGAGATCAGAATGATGGTGAATTTTAATTTTTTTTGCTCTGTGGAACTGTGAAAACAGTTCCAAAACTTTTTAAAGAACTCATTCAAAATGTGATTATTATCATGGCAAATGTTGTTATGGGCACATATGGACTGTGCTAATTCAAAATAAACTGTAGAAAATGATCTTGGTTTGCTCTTTTGGCAGCTCAGTAATATAAAAGAACCAAAGGAACTCTTGGAGACAATTGCGAGGAATACTACAGGACAACTCTCGGCTTTTGATGTTCTTTTATATATTGAAGTCTTGTCACGGTCAATTCCAACACTCAGTGCAATGAACGACACAATACCTGATAAAGAAATGGTTACTAACGTTACCATCAATGTAGGTTTCACAAAGCAATCAATTTCTATTGTAAGGTTATAGATTGACAACAAACACTGCTAAGCATTAGCAATTTTAAAAAGCAGTCTTCATCTTACATTGACTTCCTTATAACCACTGTCACTGTTTGATACATTGTAGGCTTTGGTTAAAACCGTGAACAGTTTCTTAAAACCAAACGAAATACCCATTTGGAAAGAAATTGCTGAAGAAAACAGGAAAAAAGTGGTCACTAAGCTGCTGCATACTATGGAGAAGTCAACACTTGGAATTTCACAGCACTTGGAAAAGGCAACTCAGCTAGAGTTTAAGGAAAGCGATATTGGTAAGTTGAAATGAAAACAGCATTAAAATATAATAACAATCTAATGACCCACAGCGTTCTGCTGTGTGTTCAGTGTTTCAACACAAGGGTCATATTAGAGCTTAAGGAAATTCATGGCTTTCTTTTTAAACTTTTTTCATTGATGTAGCCTTCAAAAGACGCTTGAAATCTGTTATTTCTGACACATTGCTATGCAAAATACTCACCATGTTTTGCAGAATTTCTAATCTAATCAAAATAATTTAATATATGGTATCTCACTGTCATAGAGGCAGTGTTAATATTTTCAAACTCCATTATTCTCTGCTCCAGTGCAGTATTTTTTTGAAGGACCAAAAATGTACCTGATACAACCCAGAAAATAATTGGTTCTGAAATAAAATTAAGAATTTGTCAATATTCTGTAAAGAAAGTGGTTAGCTTTTGAGTATCAGCGTGCTTCTGTGTTTAGGTGTCATAAATATATATTTTTTTAATTTAAAAAATAAAATTTTCAAATAAGTCAATCCACAACTGTTTGTGGGACATTGCTGAGCGCCAATCTGTGAAATGCATCGAGGTGTCTCAAAGACGTGTTAAGGCATTATATCAAATGCAAGGATTATTATTACTTAAAAAGAAAATATTTTCAGTGCTATGGGGTACAAACGGGCAAGTGGGACTAGTTGGTAGCTTTTTTAAAGAGTCGGCACAGACACAATGGGCCAACGGCCTTCTTCTGTGCTGTAAAATCCAACGATTCTATACATACCATCCTTTGCCAGGAAGTTTGAGCGAATAATCTTTCACTTATGTGATTATGGGGAAGAGGAAGGGAAGGGTAGAGATGCTGCTAAAACTGCTGGGAGATGCAGTTCATTAGAACAGTTGACTTATCTCTGGAAGTTGAATTTGAATCCATCCAAAGACAGCAGGAATGAACGTCTCCTCACTCTAATGCCTGCTAGAGGTGTCATCAAAGACAAGGATTTTTATTATTAAAGGTTCCAAGCAAAATTAGTGAATACGTCTGGACAGATTCAGTTCAGCACCCACCTTGCTAATTGTATTTGTTTAATGCTGTGTCAGCTCATTTCTAGACACAATGAGATCTAAGGCCCCTTTTCGACATCAGAGATATTAACACATTGGCTATTTGTATTACATACTTTAAATACTTTACAACATGGTGTGCTGTGTCAGCGTGGTAGCTGCAAGCTGTTGCAGGAGTATTTGGGGTTTTCTCTTTCCATTGTGCCATTTTGATGTGCATTTTTCTTGTCCTTTTCAGCTTATTTGTTGCATTTGATGATAAAATGCTTGGTGCCTCAGCAAATTGAAAGCCTTTCTAAATAACATTTTAAGATCTGAGTTCAGGGCACCTCTCTTAAAATTTCATGTTACAGCAACAGCCTATATGAAGAATCAATTACAGTCTTGTCAGATATTTCAACACAACCACTAAATATACATACTGGGCACATTAGGGAAATGGGGATTCTATTCCTCAATGGGGAGACAGTATCTTTTCTCAAGTATAAATTTGAGGAGAATAGGACGAGTTAGTTCCATTGATGGAGCTTACATCAATAAAGACACATTGGCCAAATGGCCACTTACTATGATTCTGTGACTGGCCGAACAATGAAGGTTCAGTACAGATCCTCACATCATTCAGATTCTTATAGATTATATGAGGCTTTAGTGTAGACTCATAACATACCTAGTCTTGAATTATAATTTGTAGTAAAACAATAATTTTGTGCCCATACAGTATTTTGAAACTTATGAAGGAAAGTAAATGGTTAACTTAATACATTATTTTTTAAAATAAAAATACACAATACCTTACAAAAAGTAGGTAGATAAACAGCGACATTTCTCAGTGCTACTTGTTCAGCTTTTGTGGTGTCCTTCTAATGTGAAAGGCATTATATACTGCAAATGTAAATTTGTATTGTATTGTTGCATCCCTAATGTATTTAGTAAAATCAATACAAGTTGTAGAACTCTGCCTCCATTCAAAAAGGGGAGAGAATTCCAGCCACAGGGTTTAAATATACATTTTATTTTGGTAAATGTCTGTTTCACCTGCATATTCTGACAGAAACTGTTGCAAACAAACGCCTACTCACTAAAAAAAAAGCCTAGCTTGTGAAACTTGCTGCATTTTCAATAGCTTCCAGTGATACTTTTTTCTGAGCGTGCCAAACATAACAAATTCAGTAAAGTTTTCTGCTGGGAAACTGAGAATTCTTTCCTGGTGTTATATTACAGTATTTTATTGACAAGTATACTTTTGGATTACTTTTAGAGATGTCTCCTCAGATAGGGCTGTCAATTCATATTCTTATCTTATATTAATAATGTACATTTTTCTATTTTTTTTACAGCCCTCAAACTATATGCTTTTGATTCAAACCACATTAATCACTCCCAACCTCATGCAACCTTCGAAGGGAATCATATAACAATTTCTCCAAGGAAGACTGAAGGCAATGGCTCTAATGGTAAGCAACTACTGACTCTAGAGTATCAATTAAAAATGATATTTTCTTGTCCTACGTGCCAGTAATATGTATCTTTTTTTGTATGTCTTCAGGAACTGTCACAATCATTTTTATTCAGTATGACAACATTGGTTCTCTGCTTAAACTATCCAATAACTCTCGGGAATGGGAAATAAATGGCACTACACCACAAGAGGACTATACTGTGAACTCTCATCTCATTGCTGCTGCTATTAAGGCAAACCCCTCTACACTGTATCCGATGGAACATGTAACATTCACCCTAAAGCATTTAAAGGTTGGTACTAGATTATCAAAATTAAAACAGGGAACTACCTGCGGTAAACTTTCCATAACCTCCATCTCATGTTTACAACTCCAGAAAAAAATAAGAAAAACCTTTGGATTACAGCATACACTGAATAAGTACCAAGTGAATAAATAATTCAACTTATAAATATTTAAGAAGCTAAACATGAAAAGTTATTTGATAGGTTGTAAATTTTGGGTTGAAAACATTTGTAATCTACATTTTAAATTAGCGAAGGCAAATTATGTGTAAAATGACCTTTAAGCAGAAGACTCGGGGGGCGAGGAGGAGGCCAGACCCGGAGGAACGAAGGTAACGGTTCCTGTTTTTCGGAGAGGGGAGGTCAGCGAGGTAGGGGGGTGCAGAGGAATGGAGGGATTTGAATACAAGGGGAGGGTCTTGAAGTCGATCCTCTCTGGGACAGGCAGCCAGTGCAGTCTGGCAAGGACTGGGGTGATCGGCGAGCGGAGTTTGGTGCGGGTGAGAATGCAGGCGGCAGAGTTTTGAATGATCTGGATTTTATGAAGGTTTTGTTCCGAGAGGTGACAAAGGCATGGACCAGGGCTTCAGCGTCTTTCGGAGAGGTATTATTGGAGGCGGGCGATGCGTCGGAGGTGGAAGAAAGTGGTGCTGGTGAGGGACCGGATGTGGGGGAGGAAGGATAATTGGGGGTCAAACCTGACGCCTAGGTTGCGTACTGGTTCGGAGAGTTTTAGGGGGAGGTCGGGTAGGTGGAGGAGGTGAGAGCTGTGAGATTTTAGACGTTGACGAGAGCCAAAGGGTATGGCTTCCATCTTGTCAAAGTTCAGCTGAAGGAAATTTGTGTTCATCCAGAACCCTGAGATCTGACAGGTGCTGACAGAACATCAGGGGACTGGGGGTCGCAAAGAGAGGTGGTCACCTTCCTCCCCATCCCCCTGGCTCGGTGCCGGGATCCGTTACTGTAAAGCACTCTGAGACGCCGTCCGGCCTGGAGGTTGCTATATAAATCCAAGTTGTTGTTGTTGTTTAAATAATTGTTTTGAAATAGATCATAACCTTAATATCTTATGATTAACAGCTTCGATCTTTATCCTTTATCCTAATGTTATTTTGATTTCAATTTCTATGAATTCTGTGATTGAAGAAGCATAGTTATTGATCTTAATCTGCACAGCTGAACATCTTTTGATCTTTGGTTTCACTTTACTGTAGCTTGTGGACATAGAGAAGAATATTAATTCAGCATGCGCATTTTGGGACTATTCCTCTGAAAGTATGGAAGGGCATTGGTCCACGGAAGGCTGTGAGTCGCTCCACTTTAACGCTACACACACCATGTGCAGATGTTATCACCTGACCAACTTTGCAGTGCTAATGTCATCAGCCCCAATCATTGTAAGTATTAGTTTCTGCTAACTCGACCGTCTCAATAAGATAAATGATCATAGTTCTGTTGCTCGGTCAAAAGATGAAGGTCACAGTGAAGGAACTAGATGGAAATAGCTGCACCATCAGCAATTTTTTGGTAGAACTTTGTAAACCATCACTTGGATATTATTAGTTCCATTTAATATTGGACTTTTTGAACCAAGTAGAAGAGTATTTATGCTTCTGGATAATGTAAACTGTTTGGCAGTGTTGGAACTCAGTGACAATTTCAAGCTCACTTTGTCAGAAAATGTTGAGGGTAGTGGCTGGAGATTGTTTGCCACATTATCAACCCATAATGTATTACTGAGAATCACTAATTAGTCAAGATGGGATGACACTAATAATGCTGCGAGTTTTTAAGAGCATATGAAACTTCAATTAAAATGAAATTTATTATATCCTGATGGTTAAGGCCCAGACGGAACAAAACCTTAGACAAGTTTCCTTACTCTACATGCCTCTGTTTACTAACAGTAAGTTGGAACCCGGTTGTTAGTCAATTGGTGTATCGCTTTCCAGGAGTAATAATCCCTTTAAAAAAAAGTGCTGCTTTCCGAACCCCAGGCAGAGTGCAACTATTCTGACTGTGTATCTCCCATGTGTGTTTCACCCATATTTTACAAGGGTAATAATTCCTTCAAAATATGGGGAAAGAGCAATTTGTTAGTCAATTGGCAGATCGCTTTTTTTTACTGAGGGTAATAATTCCTTTAAATAAAATAATAATAATAAATTGGTCACGCAATCCACAACTGTTTGTGGGACACCGCTGTGCCCAATTGGCTGCCACGTTTCGCCCAGAAAATATACAGTCAATCCACTTTACAGTGTATCCTGTGAAGCACTTTGAGATGTCTTGAAGACGTGATAAGGCGTTTTATCATATGCAAGTATTATTATTATAAAATAAATAAAAATGATTTGATCACTCAATCTACGACTATTTGTTGGCCACTGCTGTGTGCAATTGGCTGCGGTGTTTTGCCCACAACATATAAAGTCGATTCACTTTACAGTATATTCTGTGAAACTCTTTGAGACGTTTCAATGACATAAGGCAAATTCAAGGGTTATTATTTTTATTATAAGGTAACTACTAATTCAGTGACAGAAGTGTTTAAACTAGGAAAAATTAGGTCAGATCACCAATGACTAAATTAATTTCCATATTTTAAATGTTTTCTAAAACAAAAAGGAATGAGCACATTTTACACTATTAAAAGGTGATCCATTTTCCTTCCAGGATGTGTATCACAACAATGTTCTTACACGGATCACTCAGCTGGGAATTATTGTGTCCCTGATCTGCCTGTCAATCTGTATCTTCACCTTTTGCTTCTTCAGTGAAATTCAAAGCACAAGAACTACAATCCACAAAAATCTGTGCTTCAGTCTGTTTATTGCAGAACTGCTTTTCCTAACTGGAATTAATATGAACGGCAATAAGGTAAGAGGAGTGTAATTCACCAGAATATTTTCCAAAGAAGATTTCAAATCTTTGCATTAATGTTTATCAGAGGCTGACACTCAAACCTGCCACTAATATGTACGATCAGCTTTGTTAACTCTTATTCAGCTCACATGCTAACGGATTGTTAGTATCTCTCAGAAAAATGCTGGTGACGCTTTGGCTCATCTCTTTTCCTCTATTAGCTAATAAGAAGAAGAGCTGTGCAAATTGAGGGAGGGCGGCAAAAAGAGAGCTTCTATCCCTTTAAAACAGCGTTGTCCAATTGAAATCGCTGACTACCCATAGGTGTGGCTACAGTGACACCATTTTAGTCCCATGCACTGATTTTCTTGGAAAACGCCTTATGTACACTCACACAATACAGGTGAACGTATTTCACGTATACGATTCCATGTATATTTACTTAACAAATATCTACTACCATTCAGTGCAAAACTTTGCAGTTTTCTCTTTACTGCTTGCTCTCTGCCATAATGTGCCCTGTTGGAGCTGCTTGTTATTGTCAGGACTTGCTTTTTTCTGCTGACTTGGAGCGGTTATTCCAAGCTGACCAGAATTGACAGCTCTCCTCTCCATAGAATATTGCTGGTGTCTCCCTGGTGCTAAAATCCAGTGTTTTCACCTGTGTTACACACCATTTTAGCAGATAACCCAACACGCAGTAACCAAGGAAGTAAAGCACACACAACGATCAAAAAACACTCGGACCCGTTGCTTTTCATCTAACCATTTTACCAACAAATGGGCAAAAAAGTCAAAGTGCACATGCTTTTGTCATGCAAATAGGAGTACAGTAAACTCCTGGCTCATTGGACTCTGGGTATCTGGCATTTGATCAACCAAAACATTGTTTTCAAAAAAAATTCCACAGGCCCAAAATTTCTGTAGACCACATGTAGACTTCTGACTGCCCAATGCAACGCTGAGCAGCCCACGTGATCCAACGCTTCCTGCCTCACCATCCTTTCTCTGGTATCCAGTGTGTGCGCGAGTGACTACTTTTTTGTATACAGTGCTTAGAAATGCATATGTAGCGCCACAAAATGCCAGCAAAAGAATTACTGGCATTTTCCGACACTACATATGTATTTGCTGCATTACCAAGATTGTAATTATATTTAGCTGGAAATTCCGTTCGCATACCAGGTCTGCCCACTATTAATCCAGCTATTTGGGATTTATCTGTTTCGAGATCACGTGCCCAAAGAAGATATCTATCACTCGTTTTTTTATTTACTAACTAAATATGCAATTGCGCTCCATCTGGATTCCCAATTCACCCCATGTGGTTCGTGGCATAATGCATTGGACAACCTTGCTTTAAAAATGGAGATAAATTCTAATTCTTCCTAATTGTGAGGAAATCTAAATGCAACAGCAGATTGATAAAATGGGGGCTGGCTTGACTGTTGCACAGCATACGCAGCTAAGCCTTTTAATCAAACGCTACAATTTGCGGGCATAGAGGAGGTTTTTTTAAACTGATTGAAATAAGGTCACATTTGCATTGCACTCACATGATTCATCATCATAGTGTCATCAGTAAGAATTTTTGATTTCTACCAGGTTGATGATGAGTACATTGATGTACCACTAATAAATGATTTAAATTATTTTCTTTTCAAAACCACTGATCAAAATGTACAGAATTGCGACGAATATTGAAAATCAGCCACGATATTTGACTTCCGATGTTTTGTTTTTCCTAGCTCTGGTGCTCCATTATAGCTGGATTGCTGCATTACTTCTTCTTAGCAGCCTTTGCATGGATGTGCATTGAAGGCATACACCTTTACCTTATAGTTGTTGGGGTAATTTACAACAAAGGTTTCCTCCACCGAAATTTTTACATCTTTGGCTACGGCAGCCCATCAATTGTTGTTGGAATTTCTGCAATTCTTGGCTACAAGTATTATGGCAAAGATAAAATGTGAGTACTGAGCAGCACATGACACTGAAAAACATTGGCATTTATTTGAACCCAAGTATTTTGGCTTAATATGTAGTTTTCTGCCTTTTTCTTTTTCAACAGTTGCTGGCTCAGCACAGAAAACAACTTTATATGGAGTTTCATTGGACCAGCTTGCTTAATCATTTTAGTAAGTACTGACTTGAACTTTTCAAACCAAATTCTAGAACTAAATGTAGTTTTTCGGTTACAGACTAAAGCTTTAAATGTCAGAGAAATGGACTGACAATAGGCATAGCAGAGGTTTTGTTGTATTCCAGATACCAGCAACTCAACTGAAGTCAAAGGGTTACCGATGTGTGAGTTGTGACAAGACAAAAATTGTGACTCAGTTTTCTCCTCTTCCTCTCTGGTCACTCATCCTGGGTATGATTTCACAGTTGTTTTCTGGTGCCCCACAACGTGGAGTCCTGTAGCGTATTGGCTAGTGCACTTGCCTTGTGAGGCAGAGGACCACGGTTCTATTCCCGGGAGGGTGAAACATTAGTCAAGTTTTCTTACTCCACACACATCTGTTTACCTAGCAGTAGATAATAATCCAGTTGTTAGTCGATTGCTTTTCCAGGGGTAACAGTTCCTTAAAAAAAAATTAATTCACTTAATCGACGACGGTTTAGTGGGACACTGCTGCGTGCAATTGATTGCCACGTTTTGCAACAAAATATAAAGTCAATTTACTTTACAGTGTATTCTGTGAAGCACTTTGAGACTTCTCGAAGACATGATAAGGCGCCTTATCAAATGCAAGGATTATTATTATTAATGTTACCATTCTTCAAGTGTTTGGTCGTCCAATGAATGCCTGATTGAGAACCTTGGCAGTAACTATTTCAGCCCCAACTAAGATCCATCAACTTATCACAGATCAGGAATGAAACGTACCTTCAAGGTGTGGAAGGCTGTTTCACATCAAACACTGCCTTTAGCAACTGAGCTGTCACAACCATCTTTTTTCAAAAAAAAACTTTGCCAAGAATTATCAAACCCTAACACCTTCATTCACTTATTTAATGTTTTGATTACTGAGACAGAAACCTACTCTGGGGAAATGATTCATACCAATAATAGGAAGGACCTGAATTAACGGAAGTAAAAATACAATCATTAACATGGGCTATTCCAGCTTCAATAGTGCATGTTAATTCAACTCCTGCACGCAAAGAAGTTTTAAAAAGCATTACTGATGGTGACTTTCTTTCCTGAAGGATGAATGGACAATTCAATGGATTTAGTGAATAAATTACTACAATTATAATTAATTTCAAGTTGGACGTAAAACAACTGAATATGGAAACAGTCCGATTAAGCTATAAAGGAGATTGAAAGTCTTTGAAACCTTATCAGTACACGTCAATATGGGAATAGCTTTCATATTTGCAGACATTTTATAATTCAGTGAACTGTTCAAGCAATTTGGTGCCATTTCCTTCAACACTTGTTAGCTTAGGTTATGATATTGCGATGTCCAATTGAATGTCTCTCTAGCCTTCCTCTTGTATCTGGCAGCAGCCAAATTAAAGTTAGCTGCACTTCCTTCAGTGGCACATTTTGGGGACAAAGTTATGATGTGTTGAAAAAAATGCTGTTGCTAATTAATACAAGCATTGAAATTAGCCTCGCCTGCGCTTGAGATGGATTCCCGTGCCCCACACATATTTCTACATGATCTCACCAAGAAGCCACACACATTGGATTGCTAGTATTGGTCTGCTAGTTAGTGAGTTAGTAGCTTTACTTTATTTTGTCCAGAATCCAGATAACTGACAATCCAACGCCACAATCCATGAGTCCATGAACAATGTATATGTGGCGTGAGCTACTTATCAACATGACTATTGAGACATGATGTACGGAAAGGGGGTCAGGGCATTCTGCAGGACACCCAGTTAATGTGTCAATTTATCACAATATCATTAATTTCAATGCTTGTATTTATTAGGACATCACAATTTTCACCGAGGCCCTCGGACTGTTCTTTTGATAGTTATCCTTGGTGGTTGAGAAGCTTGACTTTGAACAACACTCCCGATTCATTGCTTTTTCCTCAACCTAACAAACATAACAAAATTTGGTTTGAGTCTAACCTATGCTTTCACCATGTCAGCCACTGTTAAACGCTCTGTGACGCTACCCTGTGTGGAGGGTGCTATATCAGTGCCAGTTGTTGTTGTCATTCCTAATCATGTTTCACAAAGGAATATTGAGAATACCACCAAACAATTGAAGCTCAAGATTTTGGGGGTTCTTATATCTTACTTCTTCAATAGTCTTCCATCAGAGCCATAAATACGAATAGGTTGCATCATGCTCCAACAGGCAGCTTACTGATGAGACAAGTATTGTATTGTCATCTTTCTGTATTTTCCATGGCAGACTGAAAGATCCAATTGCCACTACTCCTCTGATCTTGACATCTTCTGAAGCAGTGTTACTATGTCAGCTCCACTCAATAACATTTAAATTGGGTTACTCGTTCTAAACCCTCATTATCTAGCAAGCGTACGGCTTGGTTTTGTCGAGGATGTGCCACTGTCTCCAGAGTTACAGCACACAGTAAAATAAAAATGGTATTTCAAAATCTTAAGCGTTGCTCGTTCCTCAGTTGCTAGTGTGGAACTGAACAATGCAGGCCTGAAAGACCCCAGACTTGTTCTCTGCTCTATGTAGAGTTACCTCATCTAAGCCAGGCCAGCAGTGAGAGCACTACAATTGCACGCAGCACTTGGAAGGGAAAACTCAGTCAGGGTTTCTGCTCAGCTTTGTTACCCGGTGACCCCTGCCTGTGGGCAACATCGGGTGATGATGGAATTAAGCTCTGTTTGTGTTTGAATGGTTGGCTGGATTCACTCATTAAGAATGGGCATAATAGGTAAGCGATCAGCATACAGCAGATACCCCTGAAACTGTACATCAGTGTGACTCACTGTTTCCACAAAGGGAGAGAGTGTCAGAGAGAGGGGAAAGATGCTTTTTATAGGATGGGAAACATCAGCTAAAACAGCCCTCTTTATATACATCACAAAGGATTGCAATCTATCTGTTTTCAGTTGTGCTAAATTCACAAGTTATATTGTTTGATGGCAAAGAGGTTTTGTCAGTTTCTGAAAGGAGCCTTTTTAATGGGCTCTATTCACTGCAGGTATTGTAAGATTTCAGTTAAGAAATAAGCAAGAAAGAAAACTAGAGATTAGTAAACCTTTGTGGCCTTCCATTTTGCAGTAGATGCTATTGTTTACTTAAAATTTGCAAAGACCCAGTCTGTAGTCCCTTGAGCAAACCTATAATTAAATCATTTCTGTACTGAAAACACCATCATTGTTGACAAACATCTGCTATTGAAAGCTCACCTCCTACCTTCCTAGTCATATGTGAAACAGTAAGAAATAATAGGTGCAAAACATGAGCATGCCATTGCAAAAGGATAGGAGCAATATAATAGATATGCCTTCCACCAAGAATATTATAAATCTGGCTTTGATATAAAAAAATTTAAAAAGTCTACTTCCTTTTAATAAAACTCCATACAGTGTGATTCACTTCATAAAAGTGTCAGGGTTCAATTAATACATATTTCATTTTATCGATTCAAAATTAGATTTCAGCAAAATAATGGCGAAATTGGTAATAAAGAATATTTTTAAAGAAATAAAAGTTTAATTCACTTTTTCAATTGCACTTATGGCTCCAGATAAAGCACAGACTGAATGGTATCAATTAGATTTAAAATGGGGATAATTAAACCCATGGACAGCTTTATCAAAACAAAAAGAAATTGTATTTCTGCGTAGCTCCAGCTTAATTATATTGTATAAACTACAAGATATTAGGAGCAAGTTCTCCAGAGGCTGGAAATTGCCTTTCTACCACTACTAAAATACTGAAGTATTTTTGGCATAATCCCGAATCCTCACTGTGATAATTAGTTCACTTTGACAAAGATAAGTGACATCTTCCCATGATACACCAGCAAAAACTCAACACTTTCACCATTGTCATAAGGAGCTACAATTAGTGCAAGCACTGACATGTTTCAGCTGCAGCCATCCATATTAATGCTGCAGAGCTTATGCCATTCGCTTTTCTGTTTGACGTTGCAGACAGCGCTGCTTTTCCATCTCATAAATATTACACCTGCAACTAAATTAATCCCTCAGCAGATATGAGTATGTTGAAATATAGCATTTTAGAAGCTATGAAGATGTTCGTTCCCTTTCGGTAGACCAAACAGATCAGCACTCAATATGCAAGTCACAAAAGATGTTCCCACCAAACTGGAAGCACTAGGAGCAGCGAAAAGCACAAAGATGCATTTTAGTAGCTTGTGATAAGCTCTGAATGTTGAAAATGTATTCAATCTAATACAATAAAATACATCACCGGGAAGGCAGGACAGAGTCTAGATTTATGTCTAGAGGATGATATTTTAAATCCGAAAGTGTATCAAATGGATTCATATGGCATGTCCAGCCCTAGAGATGCAGGTTATTGTCATAACCAGTGGCAAAAGAGATTAGGTGATCCGTTCAGAAACAAGACACTGTATCTAAAAAGTATAAATATAAATAACGTGCACTGATAACATACACAACAAAGAGGTGAAAATAAAACGTTGAGACACAGCGAAAATATGGAGAAAATAAAATCAGCGAAGGAAAGTTGAAACAACCGTCAGGATTGCTGTGCAGTCGATCAGCTTTGAGGTGTCACGTTATTCCGATTAACACAAACTGCTAATAAACTAGAAGAGGGCAAAAATCTTCCCATCTCTACAGTTCAGACATTTTGTTAACCAGCTCTTGCTGCAGTTTCATATAGGAAACTGTGAAAAGCCAAATTCCCGGAATGTCTTCAACTGCAAGGAAATGAGCATTTGTTTGTTAACTATCGCAGCGATACAGCTCAAAGAAATGGATTTCATTTTAATAGCTGATCTATCTAATAGATAACTCACTATCTAACAGATAGCTATCGATCTAACAGATAGATCAGCTGAGTCAGTCAGGAATAACAGCAAATAAGCAGTAAAGCTTAAAAATTGCTTGTAAAAGAAAAAAAAATCCATCTTTTTAACCATCACAGAAAATCTTGCAGAGCTAATTAAGTCATAAAGTCTTCTCTTAATGTGGCGATTGACTTGTGGAGCCATGCAAGTGATTTGCTGAACTAAAAAAAAGCTGAAGGGATCTTCACTCTGTAAAACAAGATTTCCTGAATTTCCAATGTTTTTTTTAAATTAATAATTTAAACTTTGGGATTTTTGGGGGTTAGGTGATGTTAATGATTTATCAGTCTGCATTCAACTGTCCCACAACTGTGTATACACACACACACACACAAGTGAAAACACACAACGTCTTAACTGAAAAAGTAGTGGAGGAATTTTGAATTTTTTCAAATTCAGAAACACGTAAGTGTGAGTGATTACATTCAAGGCAGCAGCTACTTGAATCATCTTGCAATGTTCTTTTGATGTCAGAAAATCAGAACGTTTTGATAGTCACCATTGCAAAGCGAGCGCAGCAAAGCCAATGATCAGGGGAGAGGACACACTACTAATTCTAGGAATCGTGGAGAAGCTGAATTCATAGTTAAGGCTCAAAGAAACTAAAAATAAATGAATTGTTTACTGGAGCGCATGCAAATTTGTCATATTTCTCGTGGTGGTCCCTTTACTTGGACAAATGAATTTTTTCATTGAATTTTGAAACATCAGATTTTGTTCTTCAAAGCTTGTCCTGGAGTAAAAGGAAACAACTGTGTAAAAGACTGGTGCTCACTTTGGAAAGGGTACTTTACATTTTATTAAATACCGTTACTGTGGTGGAGGAGGGGAGGATGATTCTGCTTATGTGTTGCGTGTAGCCCATTAGCAATACTAAAAAAAATTTTGCTTCTTGTTCTTCGATAGTGCAGAGAATCAAGTACAAAACCCTTGTTCTCACCTTCAAAGGCCTTCATGCTTTGGAGTGGAGGGCTCCGCCCTACCTCTCTGACCTCCTAACCCCTTATCAGCCTGTCATCTCCCTCCGCTTGGTGGACACCGGCCTGCTTCAGGTCCCCCGCACTTTCTGCCCCACCGTTGGTGGTCAGGCATTCAGCATCTCTGCCCCCACACTCTGGAACTCTATCCCACAAGCCCTCTGCCCCAACCCCTCTCTTGCCTCCCTCAAGTCCCATCTAAAGACCTTCTCTTAGGCCATCCTCCCACTCCCAACCCCCTTGCCCTAAACCCCTCCTGACTCCAACTCCCAGCTCAGGTTCAAAAAACGCTGACTGTCCAATCTTTCTGATATGAAAGGCGTGTAATTAAGTGTAATTTGCTGGTGGTGTTATTGTTGTAAGAGAGATAGTGCCTATAATGCCCATCATTCTGACCCTGTTAGCCAACCCTGTTGGCTCAGCGTCAAGCTCCACCATTGTTAAGTGCTCCGAGACACTACCCATGTGAATGCTGCTCGTGCTTGTTGCTGCTGCTGTTATTAAGAGTTGCTATATTAAGCACCATGGAGAATTTTACGTCAAGGCACATTGCTTATCGTTTCATCCAAAGATGTAAATTGCACCATTTATTTCAATCAGTATTGCTTTTTAAACATTTATGGAGCATAATCATTTCAACATTAGCCTAATATTTCACATAATGTTGAAAATCCCTGTATGATTTGTGCTTAGCTTTTAATTGAGTCAACCTGGCACCTCCAAACAAGAACATTAGTTTGACAGCAGCATTGTATAACCTTGGAAGCACAGGCTGCCTTGCAATCTTCAAAATATGCTGATACTTGATGCTTGATGTTGAATATAGAATGCGCCAGCTTGCCTCATGTTGTTCCATTTCCCAGCACTGACAGCCCTCGCCTTGATGAGCATACAAACTCACCCTAAAAACTGTGAAGTGCAGGAGTTTTCAACTGTACCCATCTGTATGAATGGAGTACACCATGCAGAAATGCTCCTGTCTGCTTGAAAATCTTACGAGACCCTGAGATTCTTAATATGCACGCTTCAACGATAGAGTTGCTAAAATATATATTTATGTAACATGATACATTTAGTGTTCTTAAGTAGTAATATTTCAAATGTGTAGAGTGGACAACAAATCTGAAAAGCACTCTCATTATTTCATAAACTATTTTGGCTGAGCGAGCAGTGTCTTAGAACAGCCTAAAACACTGCCTGCAGTTAAACCATGTCAAGTAAAGCAACAGCCAAGACACTGACATGAGACATCGCTGCTCAGCCAGGAGGTCATCACACTAGTTATTGTTTATTTATTTGACATAGACAGAAAAATAACTTTACCCAGCCTTTCTCCTGCAAACTGTTTTGAAATAAAGATTCCAATTAGTTTACATTCGCCATAGAATTGCAGCCTTCAATGTATTTGCTGTCTGCAAACCTATCAGTTAACCAATTTTCAGATCTCTGTTCAAAGGTTTGTTTCACAATGTGGAAACAAATGTTTTCACAAAGATACATTTTTCTAGTTTTGATTCTTGTGCTCTCTCTCGTTGATCAAGATCTGGTTTAAATTGGCAAAACCTCAGATACTGTATTACTGTTTCTCAAATAACATTTTTTCAACTTCTTTCCAAAAAGACTATCTCTGATTTGTTTCAACCTCTTACATTACAGGTCAACCTGCTGGCATTTGGAGTCATTATTTACAAAGTATTCCGTCACATATCCATGCTGAAACCAGAAGTGAGCTGTTATGAAAATATTAGGTATGTTTCGAATGAAAAAAACACTTACAACAGGTGATATTGTAAAAATAATTTGTTCCTTAATCTAGCATTCAGGGCTACCTTAATGTTGGAGAATATTGAATATACTTTAAACAACCAGATTCCACTTCAGATCATTATTATGAGCACCACATGATTAATGGCACATTTATACATTCAGTTCAGTAACTTCCCGTACAGCTCAGGCCAAAAACAGCTTTGCAGTTCTCATTGGAAATAATGTCAGTTCCAGAAATATATTGGAACCAAACGGTTCTGCCTGGAAATGCAGCACCAGCAGCTGTTACAGGAAAAGCTTCTGCTTCCAATTATTCCTTAATGTTAAATAAAAAGGTATCAAGCGATCTGTCCTGCTGCTAGCCACCAAACGTAACAAGTGAGCACGCGGCTTTGCAAACATATGATCAGTGAAAGCTTGTTATTCCTCATTGATGAATAGCATGCTTAAAAAAGTGACAAAAAGCGAGTTCAAATGAAACCATCTGCTTAGTGTGCAGGCCCCTGGGGAAGAGAACTCTTCGATAACTTTTACTCCTATTTATAGGCTTTCCGGTGTATGTATTTGTCCTGATGATAATAAATAAAGTTTACATCTTTTAAGAAACCCTATTCAAAACGTCCAGTTTTTAAAAAAGTTGTAATTATTTCTCTGTTTGCAAACTATAGAAAAGCTTGCCTTTTTTAAAAAAAAAATCTGAATCTCCCATCACTGAGCTATTAATGTATCCAATAATAAATGATTGCTGTCATAGCATTGCATCTCCCCGAGTATCAAGTGGAGAGATTGGACCAGAGCTCAACAGTGAGTCCCTGCAAACTTGTGCTGGATGGGTTAATAGTAAAATTGTAAATGGCCATGTCAACAGAAGGTAAATCTTGGATTGCTGTAATGTTGCAGTTCCAGATTTATATTATATCAGTGAGCGAGTTTGTTGTCTAATTTGCTCTCCTTGTGTTAGGTCCTGTGCCCGAGGTGCTTTGGCATTGCTCTTCCTCCTTGGAGCCACCTGGACATTCGGTGTTTTGCATATTATCAAAGGATCCATGGTAACAGCGTATCTCTTCACTGTCTCCAACACATTTCAAGGGATGTTCATCTTTATATTTCTCTGCATTATGTCAAAGAAAGTAAGTGCACGTTTACTTGTTCTGCTGTGCTGATAAAGAAACTGGAAGCTGTTGACTTAAGCAATAATAATAATCCTTGCATTTGGTGTAGTGCCCTTTCACGTCAGGAAGACATTCCAAAGCATTTCATAAGATATATTGTGGAGTGTGTGTTACGTATTTTGTGGGCAAACATGATGATGATACAATGGGCTGCACATTTGATGATACATGACGCAATGGGCTGCAAATTTTGGCAGTGATTTGCGCGTTGGAGCTCAGGAACTGTGTGAATCCAGGCTGGATCCCTGCTCATCTCATCACCTGGAGAACATGATTTCAGAAACAATTGAGTTCCCAGCTGCAGTGTTTGAAGAAGGTGGCATCCAGTAACTCTAAACTTACTCCTTTTTCTTTTCTAAGTTCCCCAGGCTGCTCAATTAACTTTTCAATAATGTTCAAAAGTAAACACTTTTTTTGCCTAGCTTGATTGAAAAGCAATGCTCCAGCCAGCTTCCAACTCCACTCCATATACCATCACAGCAGGATATACATAGCAATACACAACTCACTTTCCTGAGGCTTACTAAAATAGTGTTCACATTGAAGCCAGTAATAAACCTCATCCTTCATTTTATTATGGTTTCTAACAATAACAGTTTAGAGTCTGCAATTAACAAGCATTACTGAACATTAATCTCCACAATGTCATTTTTGGCGGCTTTGTGGATAGATGATATAGGCTATAGGTGATTGTATGACTGGCAAGCCAATAACTCAAGCACTTTACAATGATCCAGCAATAACAGTGCAAATTGCATAGGATCAACTTTGTAATTAAAATAAAAATTGATAGTAACACCTTTTTGTTTTTACGTAATGTTTCAGTGTAATGTTCAGCTTTTGGTCAGCCAAGTGTCTCACCCGCGCAGAAACCCATCAGCGTGCTGTAGAGTACCCAATTTCCCTATGTCTGGAGCCATTCCCGTATCTATATTTTTTTACTGTCCTTTGTCTCATCAGTTTATTAATGTTGGAAAGCTTTCCTGTTAGTGTTCCATAATTTGAATTGCATTCAGCCATTCACATTGCCAGCTAGGATTATGGCTGGCCACCATATTTTGCCATTAAATTTCTATAAACCGATGGAAAGAATACCTTTCATATACCAAAACTAAAAAACATTCACATCACATAAGGTGAAGCTACAATAGTACTGAAAAATAATATTAGTGTTTTAGGATATTCACTACCAGGCATACAATGTATCAAGCTGTACTTTTTATTTGTTATGTATTGTGTTATGTTATGTTGGGTATTGTTATGTTGTTACTGCAGCTGTGACAAATATCCATGTCTACATCTTAGAAAAAAACTAACTACAGTCCTGTGATAAAATACAGCCCTGAGTTTGGTTTTTCTATCCTTGTGGCTTTTTTTTTCTATAAATGGGACTATATAAATAAATGTAAATTATTGTAAAGAACTTACAATAATTCTTTATTGAAGGGATGTGCAGTACCTAAGTGAGACCTGACAATACAGTGGTTTGTGGGATGTATGGTTAAGATCCTGTGTTAAGCCTAAGAATAATCACGATATAAATTATGGTTGAGTAGCATGTTCCAACAGCAAATTGGAGCCCAACTACCAAGATTACCTCAAGGAGATGGTTTTGGCAGATCATCAATTTGTACCCACTATTCTTTAAACTCAGAGGGTACAAATCAGTTTGGACTTAACTCAGAAATGGTCTCTTGAAAGTTCTTGGAAGATTCATTGAACAGCCCCATAAATGTTTAAGGGATCTTTTTAATGTTATTTATAACATTGATAAACTAACATCTGATATCACAGTTCTGCACATGTGCTGAATTCTCCTAAGCCCCAGCCAATGCAATTAGAAAGTCGGTGATGTAAAACATATCCTGCTACTAATGGCCCCTCTGCTGGAAAGCATAAACTGGGCATCTTCCAGAAGCTGGTGACTCAGTCATTCATATGACGACAAATTATTTCTTTCAACTCAAAGCTGAGAACACATATTGCAATGCCATTAGTAACCATCATGTAAAAGCCCTCATTTGTTTATCTGTAACACAGTTTATTATGACAACTTGTACTGATTAATTAGAGTGGTTGCACTATACGCATATAGCCAAAACTCTTTGCAAAACCACTCTGCTCAAGAGACAGTGTATGAGTTTAACAATAAAATAGAGAAGAATACGTTAATGACAGGCCCACTGATAGATGGCGAGAATATTGCTCCATAAATAAATGATCATTTATAATTTTTTTGCAATAATAATAATCCTTACATTTAATAAATAGAACCTTTCACAGTGGGAGGATATCTCATAGCACTTCACATAATATATGATGTAAAGTGTATTGACTGTATTTTGTCAGTGAAATCTGTTCTGTTAAATTACCATTTAATGGAAATTGATGCATTGTGACTAAATTCTGAAAACTCCCTGTTCCATTCTCTATAACACTGATGCCATAAGTGAATGTATTCAACAAACAAGTAACCAAAGATGAGGTTGCAAAGTTTGAAAGGACAGTATAATTATTGTAAGAGGTTTGGATGCAGTGATCATATTTGTATCTTAAATATCCAATTAAGCTCCACCAAAAAAAAAAAATCCCCAAACTGACCTGCTAAATGGAAACGTTTGAGGTCAATGTGGAAAGGAAGAAAGATTTTGAAGGGAAATTCTGGAGTTTGTGCCGTGTTAATTTGGGAAGGTCAAGGTTCCTGCTGGAAGGATACTGCTGGCCGTTGTGCTAAGATTGCTGTATCCATCCTGTGAGCTCAATTTTTTCAATGGAGACTTTTCAGTGGCATATATCAATGTTATTTATACTGACCTTTGCTCACTAAAATTAGGCACAATTACTTGTGCACCTTTAGGTACTAATTTATCCTAGGGGAGGGAATAGATCTCCCATACTACGAAACACCACAAAGCCTCCAAGATGTTTTTTCAACAAGGGCAAAATCCCCCCCCACCCATTGTATTCAAAGTTTACAGCATAGATTTTTAGTTTTATCTATTTTTTACAGGATTCTGACTCAATCTGTGATATGAAGTACTATTTTTGAATAACATAATTAACAATGGAAATTGAACCAAAGTGAAGCCTCTGTTACTATACACTTGCATGTTACTTTATAGTCCCAGGACTAGCAATATAATTACACATAAATAGCTTCATAATTACATTGTTATTCATAGAAAATAAAATGTTATCATGACTGCCTCAATAATTATAAGTCTGATAGATAGGTTCAGCTCACACGTGCTTAGAAATATTAACAGAGTTTTGTTATTTATCTCCATGTATTCTATTGAAGTTCAGAGCTGGAAAATTCTATTACCCGACTAGCCAACAGCAAGTTACTTTCCAGCTTTGGACAATAAATCATGTAACTTGCCAGCTTACAAAGTGGCAAAAGGGCATTTATTTCCATCACTAATTGTTTTTAGTTTCATTCTTTGNTTTTTTTTCTTGTTGCTGCATTTGACCCTTCATAACTCGCACAAGCATTTTTCTACTCTATCGATTTGGTTAAAGATGTAGCTATTTAATTTAAGCTAATTTCTGCAGTTTAAATATTGTATTTTTCCAGTGGCAAAATTACGTCAAGCCTTTAAAAAACTGATTTAAAGCCATTATCTAACCAATAATAAATATTTTAAAATTATTTTTCATTATTTTAAGCCTCATTAAAGCTCTATGGATATAGAGTTTTGCTGTTGCTTAATATTTATTGATTTTGAAAGACACAAGTCAACAGTAAACTAGCCTGCCAGCATTTTTCAAGTAGTAACTGATCAGCAAATGATATATTTCAAAATCTAAACTGGGCTGAGGTCGGAAAGTGAGCAGAAATATGTCAAATCATCAATCAATAATTCTAAGCATTAAAACCTTGAATCAATATCATGTGTTCAGTTATGTGACTATATTTTCCCGTGAGTAGCATTGCTGTCATCAAAATAATTTTAGACTTCACTTAAAATTCAACCTTTGAATGGAATACGTTAATAGTGACATTTATTAACCCATATGTAAATATTAATAACCATTTTTGTAAATAAAAGGGATCATTTTATTTATTCACATTTCTGCCATACTATATTTCCCATGTATAGAATGCGAGCACATAGTCTAAGCTGATACTCCATGATACACTGCATTATCGGAGGTGAAATTCTTTGGAAGCAACATTGAACCGAGATCCTGTCTGCCCAATCATTCAGGCAGACAGTGAAGATCTCATAGCACAATTGGAAAAGAGAAGGGAGTTTTCCCCAGGCTCCTGGACAATTCCTGAGATAAAAATCAAACATTTACTTTATGGCTGTTTGTGAGACATTGATGCGTGTAAATTGGATGCCACATTCATCTCCAAATATTCAGTCACTAGACTGCACAGTGAACCCTGTGAAGCACTTTGAAATATTTCAATGATGTGATAAAGTAAATGCAAGGATTACTAATTTATTAATTTAATGTTTCAAAAATGTATATTAAATGGCTGTTGCTCTTGATGTATATTTTTCTTTTGAAATTTACTTGACAGATCCAGAAAGAGTACTACAGACTATTTAAAAATGTTCCTTGTTGCTTTGGATGTCTCAGATGAACTGAATTCAAGACGTAACAGCAGGAAAAAGATCACAAAGAAAAGAATACAAATTTCAGAATGGTTACAGCAATGTTGTGGGTTATGTTTATAATTTATTTGAAGCTTTACATTGGCATTTGGCTTTGGAACTCCATTCATTTCTTCCTCAAGCCTCAAACTTCACTATTGCATCCATTTAAAACATTACACACCCAGCATAGCTCAATAAAAGTCTAAAGTAAGGGAAATGAATTAGGAAAGGATTTGGTAGGTGTCTTGTGTGAAAAGACAAAAAAGAACTCCAAAGAATAGGATATATTTTCGTTACAACAACAATTTGCACTTACATAGATGGAGCGGGAGCCAGAGCATGGTGGGAAATGGGATGGAGGGTAGGGGGAAGATGGCCAAAGCCCTGGATAAGGCATCAAGAGCATCCAAATGTCTTTCACAGCATTTCACAGATAACTACCGACAAGTATGGCAACTGTGCAACAAAGTGACCTGACAACCAACACATCACGGGTCAAAATATTCACCCCATCACTGATACATTATTCCAAGTCTTATTTAGATAATGTGACACTTAAATAGTAATATTGCTTTTGATCTGAAATAGTTGATCGATATTTTCAACTTATACAAACCACGACGTTACAAACTCACAGGAGTCCAAGTGGCTTCTCTTATGTAGGGTTCATCTCATTAAGGTTTGAACTCTCAGTCAAAGCATCAGCCAGGGTGAGGAAAAAAAGTCTGCCTCAAGGGAAGATTTATGTCATTACAATGTCTTATAACAAGTTTCAAATATAATTGATAGTTGTACGGTATAAACATACTTTTCTGTGGATTGGTTGAAAAAAAACTTGCTTCCATATATGCTTTTTAATTAAAATTTGTGTGATACATGTAAATATACTGCAGATAATAAAATTATGATTTGTGTAATTTATTCATATATTAAGTGGTGATGTTGATTGACAAAGTCGAAAGTGCATAAAATCTATGTTTAGAACGCAGCAGCAATTCATAGTCAAAATCACATTGGGATTCCATTGCAATATGAACTGTTTCTATTGCAGGTATCAGCCGCTAAAACCGATAAAATAACAAAATGTTACTGTATAAAAATAACTGGATAGACAGTAGAACTAAAACACATCACCTGCCAATAGTTCACATCAGTTATAGATTGTCTTCTAAATTGCTCAGCACCTTATCTATTCTTACTGTAGAAATGCATATTATTTGCTAGTTACATTCAGAGAACTTAAGAGTTTTTCTCTTTTTTATTTAAGGGAGTGAACACATTCGGGAACATAAATGTACACTTGATCCTGATATGAGGCACTGTGCAGAATTAAAACTAAATTCCCTAAATATCTGGCCATTCATTAATGAGCTCATTTGAATATTCAACTCTTGCAATTAGGGTGTTTGCTGCAGTCACAACCATTAATGTGAGATGCACACATTGAGAATGCCTGCAGCAAGCAGCTAGCAAGGGCACTGATCTATATGTACTGATTGTTCATATTGATCCACTTCTGGTCAAAGAGTTGAGTGCTGAGCACAGGGACACTGAACCGATTTTCTGCAAAGTGGGGGGAGAAATTATGTCTCTTGAATATATACGCTGCACATCAAAATATATTTTGTTTGAGATTTACTTCACTTTGTAATATCGATGTGGGGAAATAACCGTCTTCTCTTTATGTTCAGCAATCATAATACAGATTACAACCCAAGATTTACAAATAATTCCTGGTTTTGATATATAGCACAGTACCACTTCAATAATGTGGAGGTGACCAGGTCACTAAAGGTTTAGTGGGTCTGTTGCATTTGATTTCCCTCTTACTGGTCACATTTATACTCCAGCAGAAACTGTGATGCATTCTCTGTACAGAAATCTTTACAAACATATATTTCTAAAATCTTTCATACACTGAACTCAGCAAATCTCACAGCAGGGTTAATTCCAAATATCAATAAACATTATTCAAAATAGAGCAGTCAATTTTTTTTCAGTAGCTTGTTTCATACAGGAAAGACAGCTTTAAAGCCCTTTTGTCGATTTCAAAACAGAAATGATGGCAGTCTTTACTCTATGACTTGCACAAAATATTGGTCTGAATGCATTTTTATTCTGCAACATTGTCTCGCATTAAAAACATTTGTGGTGTGTTTCATCACTCTTACTTTGTCCACAATATAACACTTTCTTTTCAGTTGTCAATTTGAAAATCCATCGGCAGAAACAAGGAGATTCACTGGCGTGTCTCAATACAAAAGAGACGATTGCAATGCTAAGGTATGGAATGAGGATGAGAGTTTTACTCCATGATAAAAATAAATCCAAAATACTTTTGAAAACTGGAGCTTGACCACGGCACAAAGTTGAAACTATATCTGCCTACCTATCTATCAAATAACAGCTCGGAAAGATCTTTTAAATTGTCTTTATCTTTTGATTGAATCGTGGAGTTAAAATGCAGCCCTAACTTTGAGATTCAGTCCTGCAATACCTTCCATTTTTAGCTGAGACGGTCCCACAAATTTAAATTCTGTCACTTTTAAATTGAGTTTTATGATGCTGAAACTCACTTCCGGAGAGAGGCAGCTTATGTGATTTGTTGAGAAATATTCAGGTGAAATCTGTGCTGAAAATAGTTAGCAGACAGATTATTTCTATTTTTTTAAAAGATTTAAATTGAAATGAATGACTTAATATTCCCCCTCCCCCACCCACAGATGATATGAATAGAATTGTAAGTGGAAAACTGTGCAATAGGTTTTCTAGACAAACAGAATATATTCTGCAATCCACAATTGTCCATTGAGTATTCTCTTTATAGTAGGAGGGAAGCAGTTCATCCTAATTGGACTTGACTGTAGTGTCTTCCAACACATTCCTTCCCATCAGTTCCACCGGCTCTTTCTAGCCTCTCTATATCCGCCACTACCACCTGCACAAATACGATCAGTTTAAGAATGTTTCAAATATCGACAGCTTCTCCAGCTTAGCTGATGATTTCTGAGATATCTCTGCAAGCAGCAGCTATCAGTAGTGGCATTTTGCTGCGGTACCCAAATGCTTTTGACCTTAGCTCTATTATAGAAAATTCATCCCCTTCTCAAAACTATAATCTTCTTTACATCATCATCTTAAATATATGTTCAATGTCCCTGAATATCAAAGAAGGTTGATATTGAGAATTTCAGACACTATCTATAAATATGTGACACTGTCTATCAGATTATCAAAGACATAAGAATAGTTGAACTATCCAAAAAGGACTATCAAAGACAATGCAGTTATCACTACAGAAGGTCAATAGTTTACATCAGTTTTCTGTCCTTTAATTTCTGGAAAGGTGGACTAGAACCACCCCAGTTCCAAGATGGTACAAGTGTCTTTGGCACAGGGATCTATAATTCAGAATGAATGGTATTGTATTTTAGTCTCATTCAGAGATTATTGAAATGGATGACAAGGGTTAAGGAAATGTCGCAGTAAAATTCTATTTTGAGGTTAACATTAAGACACATTGGAAGGTAAGATTTTCCATGGATTTAACCCTTGCTTTATCTGATCTGGGAGTGCTTGATACCGATACTGAATGCAACGGGAGGAAAAGCAACCCGTTCACCAGAACTATCATCTTCAAACTGGACGATGGTGACATTTCGCATTCAACCTCGCTCCAAAAATATTGAAGCAAATTGCGAGCAAAAAGTGAGTTCCCCGCATGAGAGAAGGTATCAGCCTGCCTGACATCCAAAGAAATCTCAAACTTGGGCATTGTGGAAAGAGTTGTCCTCTTTGAAGATATTTGCTCAACATCTTACGTTAATATATCTTACATGTTCAAACTGTATGCCACTTCTGATGTTGGTTCACTTCTGGAACTCCAAAAGGTTAACCATTCTTATGTTGTGTTGCTCAGCGAACCACAACATAAATCTAGCAGCTTAACCTGGCTGCTAAAAATACATCCCAGAGTTGAGTCGTCATAATTTGATGGAAAGTTGGGACTCTTGTTCTAGTATCACAAGGAACTGACAGAAACTTGCTGTCACAAAAGACTGTTCCCATTTTATAACTCCACTTTCTTTTGGACTGCCAGCACTTTTGTTGAACTGGTTTTACACTTCCTAATAACTGTGGGTAGCCAGAGTGTGAAGACATGCAATACAGTGGATTGAACACATTTTTTCAAGCTCTTGAACCCGAGTTTAAATCCAGTCCCGCGTGATGGGATAAAGGTTCCATCTGTTCCATACTAAAATAAATAATCTTGATCAGTCTTGTCTGAGTTCTCGCTGGATATAATCCATGACGCAAAAGTAGTTAAAGCTTGGCACTAATTGGACAATCTTGCTCACAGAAGTCAAATGGATAGATGATATGGTAAATGGAAATGGCCCACTTGTACAGAAAGGAATATTCTTCTGAGGTTGGGGTTGAAGCACATTTTGGCAGTTCATGAGCAACATGAGAGCATTCATGTTGAATGCTATTGACACTGAGTGAAGGGAGGAGAATAAAACTTCATTCTCTCATATCATCATCCTTCCCTTGATAAACATAAAATTCATAGAAAATAACAAATAGAAATGATTCCTTACAAGTGTAGACATTAAAGAAATCAAAATGTAATCATTAAACAATGATTCTGAAACCAGAAATATGTCTCGCTAATTGTTTATTTTGGGGATGGGCAGAGAAAGAGAACAATACATGACCAATTCATATCCGGCACAGACACAATGGACTGATAAGCTTCTGTGTGATAAATTTCTATGGAAATATATTTTTTAATATACATCTAACCTAACAATTTTCTGAAGAACACAATTTAAGAATTTAGTTAAAAAGCTTATAAACTGGAGAATTGGTTGGCATTCTTATCATTTTCTATTTACATATTTCTAATTCTTCCAGGAAACCTTTTCACTTGATGTCAATCCAGACTTTACATGACATGTTTAACTCTTAAAAAAAAACGTAGAGATACTGTTTATTGTATCCTTCAAAGCCCTTATAAATATGGTAAGTATTTCCCAGAACAATGATGATGCCTATATATATATATGTATCCAAAAATATATATAATGGATAGTTTCTTTATTTAAAAATCATCTCAATTACTTTTACTCAGAGAAGAAATGTTGCAACAAATTTATTTTTTAATATCATTCAAATGTCTTTCCATATAAATAGAATGCTGGGCTTCTACATGTATTTCAATATGAAAGACATTATCTTAGAAATGCATTTAAATGGCAAATATTCTTTCTGAACTTCAGAATTTGTGCAGGTTCCAAGGATGATTTGCACATGATGCTAAGGAAAACCCAGAATGCATTTATTCTTAAGAAGGATTTAAAAATAATGCCCTCACAGGCACAAAGTCAGTGTTATCAGGACCACTTGCATTAAAGCAGATATGTGTCCTATCTCATATTCAATGATGAGTTTAACATTTCTTAGAATCATAGAAATTTACAGTGCAATAGGAGGCCATTCAACAACAACTTGCAGTTATACAGCACCCTTCAAGCGGAGTGCTTAACAGTGGTAGAGCCTGATACCAAGCTGAAGGTGGGGGGGGGGAGAGCACAGTCGAAGAGGAAGGTCTTCAGGCGTGATCTGAAAAAGGGTAAGGAGGCGGAAAGGCATTGGAATTGAGAGAGATAGTTCCAACGTTTCTGGGCAAAGTGGCTGAAAGCACAGCTGCCGACGGTGGAGCAGAGGGAACGAAGGTCAAACAGAAGGCCAGAGCTAGCCGAGCGGAAGCGATGAGTAGTTGGGAGTAAGCAGGTCACAGAGATAGGGAAGTGCCAGTGGGTGAAGGGATTTGTAGTCATACAGGTGTCTACTTCCCCACAATGGGCTCTACCTCTACCATCTTATTTAGCAGGGAATTCTACATCCCAACAACAGTG